AGGCCGGAGAGGAGAGTGTTTTTGGAAACTCAAACTGATAACCCATGAGTAAAGTTATATGGAGACCATTATTATTATTATTATTATTATATAGACTGAGGCTAAGCCCTGGCAGCGCAGACCCAGAGGACAGGCTAGGGAGGGGACAAATAACCCGTTTGCCAAAACATTGTTTCAGAAACGTGACCAACCCCTCCATGAGGAGGGATCGCATCTCCAAGAGGGAGACACAGAGCGCCATCACGCCTTGGCCACGAGGGTCGAGCCAGAGGAGGGGTCTGAGTCCGGCAAATGCCAGGAGGGGCCCTAACCAAAAGTGCCGGGGGCACCCCACCGCGAGGGTCGACGCCCCATCATGGGTCCAACCCACCGCAGGTGGACCCCAGCTGCCCAGAGCCAAAGGGGACCAACGAGACGGGTCTGAGGACCTTCTCCAACGCAAGGAGGCAGCGAAGAAGTGGGGGCGGCAGTGCCCGACTTCCAACGCAGAAGTGGAGCCGAAGCAGGAAGGCTTGCTCCACAACGGCCGAAGGAAGAGACCACCTTGAGGGTCCCCACGACAAAACTTGGTCTGCCTTCTGACCAGGTGTTACACAGATAGAAGCTCTGAGCCATGGGTCAGGTACATTGTTCCCCGCTTTTTCACGAAGCGGAGTCAGAGACTGGGACAATCGGCTGGTCTGACCTGGAGGCCGGGACGCCCACCCCGAGGATGGGGGTGGACTGAGAGAGGCTATCTCAGCATTGCGTCAAAACGGACTTTTGAAACTGTTTTGTGTACGTTTCAGGATTAGCACAACTTAGCATTGGTTTGTGGTACACATACATGCTAGGGTTTTCAAGCATTGATAATCAGTGCACTAACTCTGATGCTTCCACCCACTCTGACCCCATGTGGAAAGCACAGGAGGTCAGAAAAGTGTGAGGCATGCATTTTTAAGGTTAAGTGTAACAGATCTAATGACAAAGCATTAGACCCAATAGATTGGCTTGGACTTGGAACCATCTTTGGACCAGGTCTATTTTAAGTAGGGCAGTAGCATCGGTTTTTAAAGATGAGTATTCCAGATCTGCTCACCCACGAGGGCCCCACTGTCAGGTCTGCCCCTGTGTTTAAGGTGGGGGAGAGGCCTGGACGAGAGCCCCTTTTTGGGCCTGTACATATACAGCCAGGCTCCAAGTTTATTTGCTACGCCCAAACCATTTCTGAGATGCCACTTCGAGAGGCTGGCATGGGTCTAGACCCCGTATTTGTAGGCAAAATCCCCCTGGAGTATTGTTCGGCAGTATACACCCCATGCACACACATGTATGGTACACACAGGTTTAACCAGTCCCAGGCCAGCCCCAACTCTAAGTGTGCCGCCTACCTCACTGTTCCGGACATGTTTGGTACCAACCCAGTGGAAGGCCATATGTTCCTGTGTGGTTACCGTATGTATGATTGTCTGCCGGCAGGATGGATCGGCAGATGTGCTGCTGCCGTGCCCGCGGACCACTCATACATTATCTCCGCCCATGAGCCACTCAGCCCCAGGGTAAAGCGGGATACTCCCTTGGTCATGCCGCCCCACGACCCACTGTGGGGCTCTGATGTGCCAGATGACCATAAGATCTGGACCACAGGGGAGAAGGTGATGCTGGCCCTGTTCCCAAGTCTGGGGGTGGGGAAACTGATGCTGAGAATGGAAACATTCAGCTATCGGTTTTCAGCATTTATAAACACCACAGTCTCAGTCTGGGAGGCACAGCGTGCTGAGCTCCATGGCTTGAGAGCAGTGACCCTCCATGGTCCGCCTGGTGCTGGACCATTTGGCCGCGTCTACTGGTGGTGTCTGTGCCAGGGTGGGAAAATCCTGCTGCACATACATCCCAGCTAACGAGGAGGATGGAGGTTTGATTGAGCAGGGAATAGCCAACTTAAACCGGCTCCGAGATGCAATGGAGCGGGAGGAAGCGAGCGGTCCATTTTCATGGTCCGGCTGGCTGACCTCCTCTTGGCGACACTTGCTGATCAACATAGCCTCCATTTTGTTGGTAGGGATGGTGGTATTCTCGTGTGTCATCCCTTGCGCAGTGAAAATTATGAGCAGAGTTTTCACCGCCCATTTTACCTCCATTAATATACAGCCAAAACCGGGGGTCCTAGCCATCCAGTATTTTGAGAAAGAGCGTGACTATATTTCAGACTCGGAGGATGAAGAGTACAGCCATGTCCGGGTTGTAGGCTAGGGTTACAGGTGTCGGCGTGGGGAGGGGTGGAGGTCGGCTGATGACCGTCAGGTCCAGTAACGCTTTGCCCCCCCTGAGTTGGGGTCTGTGACTCAGCCAGTGTGATTAATGTAATCAAGAAAATAAGTGTGGTTTCCTTAATTTCCTTTTGTTCTGTAATCAAACTGTGAATATACTACTTATTCAAAATGCTCACATTCTCTCTCTTGTTGGTGAATTTGTTCCTGTGATTTATAATTGTAATTTCTATAGCCAGAATTAAGTTGATTAAGATAAACGGGGGGTTTATATTATCAAAGGGGTGAATTGTTATAGAAATCTTACTGGGATTATAAATCAATTTAACTTAAGAGTGAATCTAATGATGAAATGGGATATCTGGGACAAAGTTCAAAGCTAGTAAATCTGTTGAAACTAACTAAACTGTTGTTCTGTAGGGACGCGAGGCCAATGACAGGGTGGAGGCAGATACTAGCTTGATATCAGGGGCAAGAAGAGCGGGCTCACCGGTCAGGCTGACCATTCTTCCTAATATCAGAGTAATATCAGAGTCTATCAGAGTAAGACGTCAGAAGAGAGGGGGGTTTGGGCCATAGCTGCCACTTAATCTCGGACTCAGAGGCGCCATAGATAGACTCTTCCGTTTGTTCCATCCTATAAATGTGAGAGAGAATGAGCACTATTGGGCAGATCTACCCGGGACCTGCCACGCGGTTACACGGTTGTATATCCTGTATATGTACATGTACTGAGATAATAAACCACACTTTGATTTGAATTACAGCTCTTGTTGTTTATTTTATATTTAATATTGTGTATTTCACTCCTTAGAAATTCCACAACACTTACATTTTTATTCCACAAAACACGGATTACTCCTTTTTACAAACTTCAACACTAGACTTGTGGAATTTACCTAACTTACAGCATGGAGGGGAAAAAAGAACAAAACTTTGCGACGGCTGTTTGTCACTCAAACAGGAGCTAAAACTTCTTCAAGACCGAATGTTTGTGCTTGAATCAGAATTGGGGCTGAACACAACAATACCAGTGAAGGGAAATGGACCAAATGGACAGAACGTAAGTTATGATGACGCTATTTCATTTCCCAAAATCAACAGAGACAATTGTTGGAACACATATGGTGCCAAGCCCAAACAAGGCAAAGCTAATGATAAAAAGAGTGTCATAATGCCACAGCACAAATCTTTAATTACAAGGAACCGCTATTCACCACTTTTGGAAGATGAATCAGCAGTAGCCTCTCAGTCTCATTCTCAATCTCAGTCAAGGTCAAATGCAGCTGAGTCGCTCTTTATCGGGGATTCTGCGATAAGACATGTAAACATGCGTACAGTAGGTCCCATTCCGTTTTGTCGTCTTCATTCACGCTTCTCGGGAATCACGCAGCTGCGTGAAAAATAGTACATCTTATCGCCACAAGGTGGCAGGCTAAGTCCGCTTTAGCTCTGCCAGCGACTTAGACGCTCAGGTATCATACTGCGTGCAAACCTGTCTAGCCCAGAGATGCTATGTTGGCCGAATGGTTAACATTGAAGACTGGGACCTGGAGAACCCAGGTTCGATTCTTGTCTGAGGCAATTTTGGTTGCTGGTGGCAAATTTGTTTTTTCATTAAACAATTATTATATAACATCTTGTCTTTAATGTCTGAAAAAATCGAGGTGAAATTCACTAGTGTTATACGTTAAATATTGTGATATGTTTTGATAAACCAAACGTTACGTTACATCCTCCGCTCTGGCCCCGGGAGCAGCTGCTGTGACCCCCGCTCTGACAGCTCAGTGAACGCACTGCAGTCTGGGCTCCGAGCGCGGACCATAGACACGCGAACAGAACCACAGACAGGACCATAGACACCCCAACAGAACCACAGACAGACATTTACATTGACATTTACATATACGCAGACAGAACCCAGACAGGCGGAGACACGCGAGACACACTGAAAAAAGTACAACCATGCTCAAACTAAAAAAATTGATGTCCAGATATCACATCTAAAATATTTGACTTCACAGAATCTAAATTGAGTAACTTGTTATGACCCGATTATTTTATGTTGATGTGAACAATAATCCTGCACTTGACTCAACCTTAATATTTTGCCTTGATTGAAATTATTTTCTTCATTTTTAGTTATTGAACCAAACTAATACATTTAAATTATATCAACCTAATGTATTCACTTTTAATTTACTTAAATTGAATTGTTTGCATTGACACCAGTTAACTAATTTACATTTATCCAAACAATATTTCTTTCCCACCTTATAACTCTTAAAAAAAAATTATAATAATAATAAAAAAAAGACCCTTGGCCAACAGATTACATTAAATGCATTTATTAATCTTAGCACAGTAATAACTGACTTTTTTTTTTTTTAGAAAACATGTGCTACATTATCACCCTCTGGCAACTGGAATCTGCCTTTTAAATGGGGAGTCCTAACCCTCAATACTGTATCTGAACTTGTAATCTGCTGCAACATTTTAAGTCCAGATCTTTATGAAATGCGAGTCGGATGAAGACTAACAAATGAACAAGGACAAACACACATGTGGCAATAGGCCTATACACAGACTATCCAGTATGAACAACCTGTAAACAAAATTAAATGTCTACAGCACCCTTGGCTAGGTGCAAGTGCAGCTGAGGTTCTCTGCCTCATAAAGTGCTGGCTGGCAGTTTGTGGTTACTACAGGCTACTTTAAAAAAAACGAGCCTGTGTACGCATGCCACACATACTACTGTGCAGTGTGGAGTTCTCCATTCAGTTTGCGAATCTTGGAGCTCATCTTGTTGGAACCAAGCTCCATAAGGATCTTCTGAAGAGCCTCAAAGGTGAACCTGAACCCCTGTGGATATTCCATATTAAGTGCAAAACAGAGTCCAAAGAGCATCATCACTCCAGCTGCCACAGAAGATAACTCATTGAGGACTTCCACACCATCAATGATGATCCCGATCTCTTTGGGCTGTTGAAGAAGGCTCGAGTTCTCCCTCAAGACGAAGACTGCCATGGTGGTACTCTCCAGCTCTTGCTCGGCTTGATCTTTCTCGGACATCTGATGTAAAAATTTAGGACAAAATGTATTAGTGAACAACTAATTAGTAATCACCACATCCAATGACAGCGCTGTCAAGCTTCCCCAGCATTATTCAATTGCATCTCATAATGGAGAGTCAACAGATTTGGACATACCGTGTATTCTTTGATCAGGTCCTCAAGACATTCTCCCAGGTATATGATGAGAGATTTGAGGACACACTCCCTTCTGAGATCAGCATCAGCATCCTGTAGGGACAGTTAAAAAGGTTACTATGCAGTGTGGAGGATTGGCAAGCTTTTGAATTTCCAGCTCTACCACAAACAGTTGGCGCTTGTACAATTGAATCCATGGCACAATTAATTGAAACCAGAGCATTTCAGGATCTATGTCAGAGACCACTCAGTCTCTCTTAGAAGAGGGATGACTGGATGTCTCTTTGCCAGGTCAGGTCAATCCTGTCTTTTGCAGCCCTCTCTCAAGACCTGCCAATGGTCATGTACATGTTCTCATCCTGGATGTGTCTGCTATCACTAATTTGTGCTGTGGATGAATGTGGATTTGAGCTGGAATCAAGGTATTGTAAAAGCATATCCCTGGTTTGTGGAAGAGCTAGCATTAGCACTGGTCACATCACAAATGCAACAATGACAGTAGCTCCCCACTAAGGGAGAAGGCAAAAGCAAGGTGAGTACAAAGGTTCCTCCAAATCCCCCAAAATGCAACTCTGTGTGCAACAGAGGAAGAGCACATGCGACTAGTGTGTAAAGAACATTTGCAAAGCCCACACATCCTTGCTCGACACACACACTTCATACCAACAGTTTGAAAATAGTTTTTCAAATGACTTAATCACCGAAATACAAATAAAAATGGAAAAGGATGCCTATCCCCATCAGACAAGGGTTAAATCTAACTGTTGTTAGTGATTCATTATATACATCATACCTGATCAAGAAACTGCAGAATCGAGGCAGTTTTTGCTTTGATTATCCCTCCCTTCTTTTTGATGATCTTCAGTAGCTGTGTGGAGTACTTGTCCAGCTGGGCCATGAATCTTGTCAGCAGGGGAACTGCAGTAACCCGTAGAAATTCTGCATTGATCTGTACACGAGGTAGCAGTGCACAATATTATATTATATTATATTATTATTAATATTAATATATAATATCTATATTTTTTTTTCATTGAACTTGGCACAAGCATTAATTCCCCATCTCCAAAGTATGTCTTAAAAGGTAGAATATGTAGTCTCTCCTTTGTCAAATTGTCAATTATCAAAATGTATCATTCTTCATACTCAAATACCGCTCAATGATCATTTATGACCCACTAGAATGTATGGTCTATAACAATCATGTAACTATTGTTCCCCATTTGGCTGTGTTTTGGTAATGATTTGTTGTTGTTCATTGTTACTTAGTCAAAATTCAGTAATTTCAAACTACATATAATTGTTGATGAATACTTTCAATAGTATTTGCAAAGCCCTGTGTATGCATTATTTCTGGAAAAAAATGGTTTGTTATAACTAGTATGAAAGAGAGGTATACCTCTTCCACCTGAAATAAAGCTGGCCATCTTTCCATGAGGTCAAATGAAAATATAAAGCTAACACTGACAGGCGACCACACTTTGTAGCTCCTTCTCAACTATCTCTCAGCACTCAGAACACACACACACACACACACACACACACACACACACACACACACACACACACACACGCACGCACGCGTTTGCTACTATGAAAATGAGGTGAGGATCTAATATTCAGGGTGATTTATGAAATGGATAAAAAGGCGATGTGCAGTGTAAATGCAATGTCTTACCTGCTCAGGTTGGATGAAGATATAGGCTATAGCCAGGGAACTGAAGAGAGGGCCTTGTGGTTCTGAGAGCATACAACATAAAATAAACAATTACTTCCCTCTGAAGACATGTGTACACATACCAGATGTTAGCAAGTGCTAGCACGTCTCAGCTGCACAGCGAGGGCTGGGCTGTAGATGCCATTCCGCGCTTTAACGTGGCTTCAGGTGTAGAAATTAGCGAGTAAGTCTGTCTCACCGCTGAAATACTACGGAGGGACAATCGACAGCACTAAAGTAATCAAAAGTCAGTCTCGAGCAATTCAACACGGACCCAGCTCTGCCACACTCTTGAGCGGCTCCAAACTCCGGTAACTAAGCCGAGACGTCTGCGCAGATTGGCTGAGGGAAGCGCCTCTAAACCCGGCCACTCTCCCAGGAAGAGCCGCTGTGAGAGCGCGTCAGTCTGACTGAACACACACGCGTTTAAAGAATATCCTAATAAAAGTATTAGCTGCTGAGTTCTTAACACTCTCTTAGCAAAGTAAATGTACCTGTAGTTGGCCGTTTTCTTGGAAAATGTAACGAAGCACGACGAGAAAAGCGCGATGATGGCGCTTCAACTGCGTTTTGTAAAATGAGCTAAGGGCGTAAATCGAAACTTATTTTGATAGAAATATTGAACCTTTTTTTATATTTAGGGCTGTCTCAAAAACACATTATGATGTTAGTCACTGACTTAGGTGACATGTAGTATTTAATATTTATATATTGTCTGTATATTTTTTACTGTTACTGATGGAAATTATTTTTACCGGCCATTTGCTTTTCAAACCGGCCAAAAGCCAGCTAAGGAACTGTACACAACTGTACACAGTGTGCAGTGGCTCAAGGAACAGTTAAAGAAGCCTTCAACATGGCAGCCCGCGAAGTAATGACATCATGGCGCCCAGGCATGGAATGTAGCCCAATTTGACGATGTTTTTTGGCTAGCTTACCTTACCAACACTTGTAACGGGTTAGAAAATATATGTATTATTATTCGTGGTCATAAATTCATAACGTGTCCGGTAAATGCTAGCAAGTTAGCCTGCTACTGCCAATTAGCCAGCCAACTACTGCCATCCCATTAAATTGGGATATTCTTTGCAATTCTAACACAACAATAGTAAGTAAGTAAGCTTTATTTATATACCGCCTTTCACAGACCAGAGTCACAAAGCGGTTTACAATTGTTATTTTTTGGGCACTTATCCTCTCACTCCACACAGAGATGGGAGCGGGGTCGCCGAACAGGAGGCGCATGCCAGACCTATTGTACATATTTTTTGTGGTAGGGGAAACCGGAGTACCCGGAGGAAACCTACGCAGACACGGGAGAGAACATGCAAACTCCACTCAGAAAGGCCCTGGTCCAGCCGGGATTCGAACCCAGGACCTTCTTGCTGAGAGGCGAGAGTGCTATCCACTCAGCCACCGTGCCGCCCGATAAATATTAATCATAATAATCAGCAACTGCTTTAATACTTACGTTTATTTTTGGACGAAATCCACCAAGGACAATATCAGATGTCTAGTGATGCATCTGGTCAGCAGAGTAGAATGCCAAGAGTGCAGGATCGAACATGTGCTCTGAATGGTGTGTGCAATGCGCATACGCAATTCATTTGACTCAAACTAAAAATATTACCTGCAGGTCATGAAGGAAAAAAAAACAATTTGAGACAAATCAAAAACTTTGTTTTGGGTCCTTTGGACGTATATTTAGTTCAGTATAAATCAAAATTGATGTATCTAAATGCAAAAAGAATGAGTTTTACTATCAAATCAATAATTTTATCTTGTTTTAAATGACAGTTATTAGTTTGAATGAACAACTGCATGTTACACTTTTTTCAGTGCACGCGGATCATACTTGGACAGAACCAGAGACACACGAAGCATAGACACTCGAGGGACAGGTCCATTTGTTTTATTTGTGTTTAAAGTTACCCAAGTTTCTCCTTGCATTAAAAATGCTTGGTGGTTGTGGATATTTAGACTGCGTGATTTGATAGAATAATACTGGCAATGTCTAATACATATCTAATTTTCAGTAAATTATAAAGAGAACGAAAAAGAAGAGGAGGTCAAAATTCAATCCATTGAATATTGAAAGAATCAATACATTCTTGATTTTCGACTAATTCATGAGTGTTGTGTGTTTAATTGGTGCCGAAGTAACATCTTTTTAATCTTCTACAACATAGTGACTAAAACAAGTGTGCCATAACAGAGTAATTCCAAATTTACATGTTATATGTGACTGTGATGATTATGTTTGGAATGTCGATCTTTAAACCTGTTTTACTCAGAATTCTGTTTCATAAAACCATGTAAATACGCTGACTTCAGATTATGAGAACTTTTGTTACAGACATGCTATGGAGAAAAGAAAAACAGATTTGAAAAGATATTGAAAGCAGCTTTAATATGTGCGAGGCGAGCCTGGCCTGACTGCGCTCTCCTCCTCTGGGACCTACGGGCCACCTCACGCTGAACTTTCTTAAAAATAAAATGAAAAAGGATACTCTGTTGTGAATGTTTTGAGAGCATTGTCAGTCATTAAGAGGAGGAATAGCTGTTGTTCTCGGGGAACGAGCTTCGCGCTGTGTGATATGATCATGCAGCTTATTGGACAAAATTGTTCAGCCAATAAACGGAACTATATTTGAAGCAACGTAGGAACGTGATGACGCTCAGGGGGTTATATTTTCTAAAAAAAAGATTAGAACGCAACATTTAGTTAATAATGTGTGTATAAAAATAAAAAATATTGAAATTATGACTTTAAACATCCTGACAACATTGAGTATGAACAACAGTCAAATGACTTAGTCATGTTTTCATTGTGACACTTTACTCTCTCTGCTTTTTTCAAAGCAAAAAATCAGATCTTGGTGAGCACTAAACACTGTACAGCTGAATACTACAGTAAAGTTACACACGACTGTATTTAGTGAGAGTAAAATACACATTTATATGTACTGTGTGTGTGTGTATGCATGTATGTATCGATGTATGTCTTTCACATATTTACTGTATTTGCATGACCAAAGCCATGAAATGAGCTTTAGTTTTACAGGGAGAAACTATTCAGTCGTGATAAGTTTTATTTTGACTTACAGGACAGAAGCAAATGACAAATGATGATGTTATAAAACAGAGAATTGTATGAAAGTAACTGATACATGAACAAAAGCATTTGTAATCTGTTCAAACGAGAAACTGCTGCGATTATGTCACACGTGACTCAGTGTTTTGTATGTTTGTTCTACGTAAATACTGTATGTGTGCTATTTTTGTTGCACAATGCTGTAGAATTGCAAAGAGCATATGCAGTAAATATGTGAAAGACATACAGTACATACATATATGTATCACTAAATACAGTCACAATGAAAACATGACTAAATCATTTGACTGTTGTTCATAAACACTGGTGTCAGGACACAGACACAGACCGTTTCATTGACATGAAGACTTTCTTTTGAGGAATTAAGTTCATTTTGAGGAAGTGACTTTTTAGCAAGTTATCCATGAGGTTTTGCCGTTTGCACTAATTGTTCTGAGAAATGCACAAACTGATTACAAAATATATACTGTGCATTCTCAGGGGACACACTGCCATGGCATCTCTTCTGCATTGTCCATATGTGTATCTGTGGACTACTGTAGTACTCTCTTGCAGCTCTCCCTCCCCCGCACAAATAAACAAAGCCCACCCCAGGCCCCTGCTGTTATAAGTCATTACCTACATTTGCTAATCAATACATGCAAATGTTAGCAGCCAACCTAGCAAGTTAGCTCCTTCTTTTCAAAACAGGGGCCAATTTCGCTTGGGTTTGCTAGTGTTAAAACTAAGCAGACATTCATCAGCCAACTCAACCACCCATCATACATTTGTATTAGCAATATCGTTTTACAAGTTTACTACAGTCTAGCAACTATTCATTTCAACCTTCGGCACAACACGCCAAAACACGCATGAAATTCAAGATTTGGACAACAATAAACATGTTCACACTCTGGCATCATGTTTAAAAAATTTAATTTGCGCATCAGAAAAAGTCTAACGGAAACACGCAAACTTCGAATCATATATATAATAAGCCTCTGAATTTATTCTTTTAAATAATGTTGTTATAACACTCACCATTAATGCGACTTCTGGTGCTGGACTGTAAAAAATACAACTCAAA